ACACACTACACAAGGCACGACACACACGGACACTACACAAGGCACAACACACACGGACACTACACACACAACACACATGGACACTACACAGAGGCACACACACGGACACTACACAAGGCACGACACACACGGACACTACACAAGGCAACACACACGGCACACGGACACATACACGACACACACGGACACTACACATGGCACACGGACACTACACAAGGCACGGACACTACACAAGGACACAACACACACGGACACTACACAAGGCACACACACACGGACACTACACAAGGCACACACACACGGACACTGGCACAACACACACGGACACTACACAGGCACGGGACACTACACAAGGCACGACACACACGGACACTACACAAGGCACGACACACACGGACACTACACAAGGCACGACACACACGGGCACGACACACGACACTACACAAGGCACGACACACACGGACACTACACAAGGCACGACACACACGGACACTACACAACACACACGCACTACACAAGGCACGACACACACGGACACTACAAAGGCACGACACACGGACACGGCACACACACACGAACACTACACTACACAAGGCACACACACACGACACTACAGGCACGACACACACGGACACTACACAAGGCACGACACACGGACACTACACAAGGCACGACACACGGACACTACACAAGGCACACACACGCACACACACACGGACACTACACAAGGCACTTTTTTTGAGGTTAAGTGTGAGATATAATACAGAACTGCAATACTGTAAAGGATGCATGTATGTATGTATGTATGTATGTATGTATGTATGTATGTATGTAGTGACAAGGAACTGAAAAGGAGCAATGAAACTGGCTGAAACAGAAGACTAGGCGAGGGAGAGAGAGGGGGAGGGGGTGGGGGGGTGTCAATGTGGAGTCGGAGTGAGAGAAAAATGGGGAGGGAGGGAGGGAGGGACGGACGGAGACGAGTCGGTGCATATTCATCAGCCGCTTGTGTCTAGCGCTCCACCACTCACCGACCTCCCTCACCCACTACCACTTACTGCCATCACCACAACCACTTACTGCCACTATTACCACCACTTATTGCAATCACCACTACCACTTTACTGTTACCACTTACTGCCACCATCAGAACAACTACCACCATCACTACCACTTACTGCCACCATCGGAACAACTACCACCACTGCCACCATCACTACCACTTACTGCCACCATCAGAACAACTACCACTTACTACCACCCTCAGAACAACTACCACCACTACCACTTACTGCCACCACCAGAACAACTACCACCACTGCCACTACCACTTACCGCCACCATCAGAACAACTATCACCACTGCCACCATCACCTCCACTTACTGCCACCATCAGAACAACTACCACCACTACCACTTACTGCCACCACCAGAACAACTACCACCACTGCCACCATCACTACCACTTACTGCCACCATCAGAACCACTACCAATACCATTACTTCACAATTCTGTATACCATCACTCAAAACCTCCCTACAGTATATCACCGCCCTATACAGACACATCATAACCAAACCTAACATCATCTCACGTCTCTTACAGTATTACATTTACTTACATCACCACCAGTTGGCCACACATCTCTATAACACAACTCTGTAGAATGGTTAAAACATTAAATAGAGAGAAAGTATATATTTGGTTTTGGTAATGGACATCCGGTAATTGGGCAAAAAAGGAGTAAGAAAAAGAAAAGTAAAAGAGAAGTGCCTCACAACAATGCCAAGAAACAGAAATATGACAAAAACTTGATAAAGATATAAGAAAGACAATTACCAAGTACAGTATTTACAGTATGTCACCTTTTGGAAAGAAAACCTTGGCAGAAGTATTCCCTAGACAAGTGGATGCTCAGCGAAAGTAATAAAGTCCAAATACTGTACTGTACCTTAAAAGTATTTTCAGCTAATTGGATGACTGCAGAATGGAGTCTGAAAAAATAAAGAATAAAAATTTGAGAACCTTGTATACCATATTCTGGGGTAGTGATTTATGGATGTATGTGTATAGTGTATATATCTATATACACAGTACACCAATGGTATACAGTATGCAGTTTCTGGATTCACAAATTTTGCTGATTCGTGCCCCTTACCTCTAGTATTTGTGGATTTCATGGGGTTGAAATCCATGCTTCTTGGGGGTAAATTTTATATCAAAACATGAAAATATTATACTGTAATCCACAAAATATAATTTACTGTAACAGCACATTGGGGGTAAAACCACATGCACTTCCCATACTATTCTTTCAAATTTACTAAAAAATCTGAGAATATTAGTGAAAATGGCTTAGTACAGTATTGTATATACCATTCGAGAAAATAGTTTAGCACTGTACCAGCCTGCATGGAATCTTATCTAATAATGTAGAAAATGTATGAAAATTAATCCAGTAATTAAATGGTGATTACACAGAGAAAAAATTAATTATGACGCTTGGATCCAAGTCTGTGTGAGCGTTGAGTTTATGGCTGGATTTGCCTGCTTTCCTACTTAGTCTGTGTTGCATGCAAAGATGTGTGATACTCCTGCATTTTTTTTATTTGAATAATCTTAATGTCAAGGTTATGGTGGCTGATTTCCAATGAGTCTCTCAGAAATTTTCCTTGATCCTGGGATTTTCTTCTTTCTTACCTCTTGAATATAAAAAGAAAGTTGGAGGAATTATATCTTTCCTACTTTTGTTTTATCTGATTCTCTCAACCCGAACATGAATCTACATTAACACGCTGGCTCCATGCACCCATCAATATCACCTGTTTGTGTAAGTGCTAAAAGACAAATATTTCACAGACATTAACGCTTCCATTTCATACACATGAAAAACCAACACCAAGTTTTAAATTTTTTCGTTATTATAATTTTTTTGTTCTTAAATTAATACCATACCAACTTGTAAAAGGGCTTTACAGGACAGTAAAGCATTATACAGTATTAAGTTAGGTTAGGTTAAGTAGGTTGGTTAGGGTGCTACAGTAGTGTACCAGTATTTTGTTAATAATTCACTGGGAAGCATCCAGTTGCTTCGCATTAAGTACTGTAACTGTTTATTATTAGGAACACGTCAACAGGTTAACCAGACATACGGCAACTATGTAGCAACGGATCATATTTATTCAATAAAACAGAGAAAAAAGTAAGGAAATTTCAATTCTTCCATTTTTTTATTTGAGAGATAAGAAAGTTAACTTCTACAGTATCTCTTTTTTTAAGCCTCTTCTTCTCAAAAGTCTGTGTTGTAAACTATTACCCCTTTCCAAACCTAATATAATTTCATCCTAAGGTAGGTAACCTAAGTTAGGTTGGCTCATCTTACCAACGATAAATTGAAGCAGTTGGAGGAAGTAATTACATGAATTCAAATTGCAAATCTTTATTATTTGGGGGGATTTCTTGAGGTAAGAAAGATGAGATCTTTTACAAAACGTTAATTTGCCCATTCACGGAATTTTACTTCAGCTATTTGCCCAATATTCATTTTGATTGGTTGATGCTGATGATTTGGATTATTGAATTCAGTCACTTACAAACATGACTAGACTAGGTTAGGTTAGGTTTGCAAGTGACCAAATTAATAATCTAAGATCAGTGTAATCAGCCTCGAATAATCAGAAAGAATGCTGGATAAATAACATACATAAATAAAGGTCCAAGACCAGAAAAATGAGCATTGCTATATGCAGTGGTTGTCTGGTCGCCAGTTATTAACATCATGGGCCTCGACCTAACAACAAAGGGTATTATTATCGTTTCGGTCATGCAGCGAAATTTAGGATTTTAAGTTTAGTTTAGTTTAGGTTAGGTTAGGTTAGGTTTTAGGTTAGGTTTTTCCGATGGTTTTTGATGTTTTTTAACATGTCTACCCTACTTCCAAATAGGCGCATGACTAAAACGATAATTTTACCCAACAAAGAATGCCAGACAAACAGTGGAAGTAAAGGTACGTGACTCGAGAAATAACCACTGCCGCTGTTTAGAAAAATTTTCCATAGATTCCTGGTTACTTGCAATATCACCCCAAAGTAACACCCCCACCTGCACCAACAGCAGTCAGTGGTGAGTTTTTACCATCTTGTAGGAAGACCTCACTTAAGGGTTAGTACCAACACACTGTTTACTATATACTGTATTATCTCCAGTAAATCACCCCCAAGGTTGATGAAAATATAAATAATTATATACAAAGTATTTATACAGCACACGAATTCTAAAATAATTATCAGTACCTGGGTGACACAGGCTCCACCACACCTATATACTGTCTATAAACTGTTAAGAAAATAATAGTAAGTGCTATGACACCCTGTCTAAGGCTGCCTCCAGCCTGAGATGAGGATGCCGAGTTACAACTTTGGAACAACATGCAAAATGCCATTAAATTTCAGGATCTTTTAGTTATCACAAACATTAATGTTAATTTGATGAACTGTACTCGGTGATTCTCAAACTACGTCAAAATTCCTTCTCCATATCTTAGAGTTTAAACCAAAAATTTAACATTATCCATCCTCTTGATGCATACCGGACAGGAAGTCGGCAATTTATCAGCTCATTTACTTACGTCATGCAGGAATTTCACACTATTCCTTACCTTTAGAGTTTCTCCTTGAACTAATATTGAGTCATTCAACGCGTCAATGCGGTAATCGTCACTAACACTGATAATTGGCAAGAACAATTCCCAACAGCTCTAAAATAAACATGGCGCACCTAACTGCTGACAAAGGACTTATCATCTGGTGTTACTACTACCTTCCACAATAACCATAAAAACCCAAAATAATCACCAAAAATATAAAATCTATGAATATATTAAAGAAAACAATTAGGTAAAATAAAAGAATGGATGAGTTAATATGAAGATATAAATAGAAACAAGGCATAAAGTTCTAGGGTATAAAGTAGTGTCAGCTGTGAGAGGTTCTGGGGGCGGCTGAGGCTGACTACTACCTCACATTCCTCGACCTGTAAACAAACAACACAGCTCGTCCCTCCTTACTACTGGCGTCTCTTACCTACTATCTCTGACAGCTCTACCTACTCTCTCAGGAATGACCTTATGGCTCCCATTGTAGTAAGTAACAACACTAATCATCCTTGTTCTTTATTTGATACTGACAGTTGTATTTACTGTTTCTGGCAGCTCTGTACTGTTTCTGGCAGCTCTGTCTACTCTCTGGCAGCTCTGTCTACTCTCTCTGGCAGCTCTGTCTACTCTCTGGCAGCTGTCTACTCTCTCTGGCAGCTCTGTCTACTCTCTCTGGCAGCTCTATCTACTATCTATGGCTTCCACTACCGTAAGCAACAATGCTGATTATACTTATGCCTTACTAGGTACTGGCAGGTCATTTTACTGTTACTGGAATGACCTTATGACTCCCATAGTAACAAAACTGTTCAACCTTCTTCCTTTCTGGTAACTCATTCTGTTGTCTCTGGAATGATTCTGTGGCTGCCACTGTCATAATTAACAACACTGATCATCTTTTTGCCTTGCTAGTTAATATATATGATTTAAAGGTTACTACAACAGCAACAAAATTGCCCTGTAAAAGCACTGGGAAAATTAATACCTGTGAACATACCTGTATGTCTAAAAGCTCATAATATTTATAGACAAGGATCAGGGTTATACAGCCACCTAATGAAAAATATCTAGGGAAGAAAATTTGTCTTACCTCAAGACTAAAGTAAATCAGGTGGAAGAATAGTACTTTTCTTACTCATATTTTGTCCCTAGTTTTTCCCATAAATTAAGATGCTACTGTCACCTTCACTATTTATAATTGTTGCAGTGTGCACCAACCAACCGACTTTGAATGGTAAGCAACGGAAAGCTTCCCTGGACAGCCACCAAAATCCTGTTACATGTAAACAAACATGTAAAACTAATGTTCCACTGGGTTTGCATGAGGTGTGTGTGTGTGTGGAAGCAAAACCTGACATATTCTACTGATAGGCCGAGGGTAACAGATAGATGACCTAGGACCCAGAAAACCAGAAAAATCTTCAAAACTTGTTCAGTCATTGTTCTAAGGGTCCTGGATTTGAGGGTCTATACCTGTATTGTAATTGATTTGTATACATTTTGCATAAAACAATGCAACATTATTGTACATTACAATAATGCATTTATATATTACCAGTACTGTAAATATAAATTAATACAATGTTACTGCACAGTCAGCTGATCACCACCATGTACTGTACTGTACTAATATCAACAACTCTGCACCTCTAACACCATTAACCCTCTGCATTACCAATAATTTACAGTACCAGCCATCCACACTACAAGAATCATACTGAATATTATTTTTTTTACAGAAAACTGATCTGGGTATAAAGGAGAATAATAACACTATCCTTTTTAATGAGTCCAAGGCAGAACTCTTCAAACTAAGTGATGGATACAAGATTCTTCATCACAAACTAAAGACACAATGGAAAGTTCTCAGGTAAATATAAAACTGTTTAATGTATACTAAATCTTGAACTTAATTGGAAGCAATGCATAGGAAAGCTTTCACAGATGATGCCTTCCATTTAAAGGTTAATGATAGAAATTTTCATAACCTAGTTTCATTCATGTAAGACTTATCAATGTAAATAATTGCTACACTTCAATTGATATCTAATGATACCTCAGAATTGAATTTTGAAAAAATAATGGAAAACTGTACAGGTAAATGTGATTGATACATTCCCTGAAAGTATTGTGCTAAGTGAAATTAATAGTCCCATAGGAAAATAATATGTAAAATTGAGGGTTGTTTGTTTGATTGAAATTATGCGTAACAAATACCTATGAACAGATAATCCTTTATATACAAAAGGGATGTATAGTACCCAGTATTCCTTTTAAAAAAAAAGGTACAGTACTACACTGAAAACATTTAATTTGGAGAATATACTTTTTTTTTCAATTCATATCATTATCATATCTTTTTTCAGCAACCGTGATGACCTGACAAAAGAAAATTTGGGTCAGGCAAGTGTAATTGTTTTTGCCTGTCCCCGGCAAAGGTTAACTGAAGTTCAATTTTCTATTTTACGGCACCATGTGGAAGATGGAGGAAGCCTTTTTGTCATGGCTGAAGAAGGAGGGGAGAAGAAGGCCAACACAAATATTAATTTCCTTTTAGAGGAGTATGGCATAGCTGTGAATAATGGTGAGTGTCAGAGATACTCGTGATTGCTTCTTCACTGTCTTTGTTATCATCATCAGCATTAACATCTTCCCCTGAAGCAGCTTTCACTGTTTCTAACCCCATTGGATTTTTAGTTGTTGAAGGTTCACTGAGAGTCAAGCAATTCCTGAAATCATCTTTGTCAGCCTCTATTAGACCTGATTCATGCACGAGTTTAGCCCTGGATGTGGGTGTTGAAGAGTAAATAGAGACAAGTTTCAAATGAAAATTGGTGTGTAGAAAGAATAGATGAGAGGTATTCTGGGTAATGTGGATATCAAACTACAGTTAACGCATAAGAGTGAAAGTTTGAGGCTTCATGTTCGTGGTTCCTCCTGTAAAAAAAAATGGACTAGAGGATAGTGAACACCAAACCAAATAGTAATATGAAATTTATCCTCAATATAATTAAATTTGAAGTTCCATTGTAAAAATTCTATTGGTGTTTCAGACTCGGTGGTGCGGACTTGCTACTACAAATACTACCACCCTAAAGAATGCCTTATTACCAATGGAATTCTTAATCGTGCCATTTTGGAGGCAACAGGCAAGAATATTCCTGGGTTACTTCTAGATGACACTCTGCCAAGCAGGTCTGTAAAGTACTGTACATGGCAATGAATGTCTCTTTTGTTATTTTAATATTTTATGTTTCTTGGGGTCAGCCAAAGTTGACTTGTTCAGCTAATCTTGCTTAGGACTGAGCCTGGGTCCTTGTTAGGCCCCAGTCACCATGAATTAGGGCTTCCCTGGGTTCCCAAAGCCTCAAGCAGGCATATTCACTAGTCATTCTGTCCAGGCTTAGCTATAATCCAGGATTTCAGTTTCAATTCCACACATGTCTTAAAATTCAAAATATTGATTCAGGTGAGCTTGTGTGAAGGGCAGTACTTGACCTTACCACATGATAATTAATAGATATTTCTGGCACAGTTTTAATGATATGCCCAAATTTATGAACTGTAGTTACAGTACTGTACAGTATAGTCTGGATTTACGCGGTTTTTGTTTACGCGTTTGGTCATTTACGCGGTGCCTTGCCAGAATGAAATGTTTTAATTACACGGTAAATTTCATCATTTACGCGGCGAGTGGCTGGAGAGGTCCAGACGCGCTGCACCATTTTTTACTCACGCGGTCCATTCTTGACAATACGCAGGAAGCGGCGCGGTGAGGGGTGCGCATTAGGTCGCTCTTACGTTATTGCTGACGTCATATGACATATCGGACTGTGATTGAGCCACACATCCTTACCACCCACGCATTCCCTCCGCCGCTAGGTGTGATTGGTCTAATGTAACATGATGTGCCCTGCCACCAGAAGTCGCTGACCTAGCCGGGCCAGTCTCATTGTTCTCAGTCCGCGTATACAGTTCTCTCTTGTGCCCGCTATTCCCCTCACAATGACTTCCGCTGGACCCCCACCACCCCAGAAAAACCTTGAATTACCTGGACCAAGCCATGATTATGTGAAGGAAATCATCGAGTTGGGGGAGAAAATTAAGCTCTTCCTTGACAACGACCCAGACAAGCAACGGTATGAAGTGTCTAATAACCATCTGTCGAAAGTTATGGAGCCGTATATCCAGATCTATCTCGACAACATCAATGCTAGTCGCCAACGTAATATTAAGGACTTCTTCGCCCGCAACCCACCACAACCACAGCCAGCCCAAGTCAGTGATACTGACAGTGAGGATATGGACTTTGAGGGGTTTGTCTGGGAGGCCCTACAAACCTCTGCGAGTAGTGAAAGTGATTCACCAGAGGGCAACTAATCTGCCCTCTGCCTCGGAACCAGCCGCCATCCACGTGTGCCGACCCATCGCTTCTACTAACATAAGTGTTAAACACCTTTAGATTTGTAGTTTTTTATTTAGATATTATGTGTGTAGCAATACCATCATAAAATTATACAAGGTACGTATTGTGTCGGAAAAAGTGGAGTTTGGGAGTCGGCCCAGTCTCTATTTCAATTAATCCCATATGTTCTGTTATTTCGTTTACGCGTTTCTCGTTTTACGCGGACCCCCATGGGTTCAATTGACCGCGTAAATGCAGACTATACTACAATTGTACAAAAAATTACAGTAGGGATCACTTTTACACGCTTAGCTATTGTCATCACCATAATTATCATAACTCTCATATGTGCATATTTATATCAATACTGTATCATGATTCTGTAACTCAGCCTCCTCACTGTTTCAATTTTCCAGGTCAATGTCCTTTGTTTATCCATTTGGGGCCACTCTCAATGTTGCTCGCCCTGCTGTTGCTGTCTTGTCTACAGGCAGCATTTCTTTTCCTCTGAACAGACCAGTAAGTTTTTTAGGTGTTTTATACAACTTCATGTGATACGGGGTAACCATTGCTGACTGTGTCTGTACTGATCAACCACAGTACCTCTGCTCAAATTCCTCTATATCTACCAGTCACTGGCAGATTGGGAGCTTAAAATGGACTGGGGAAATGCTTGCAAATTGGCCCATATGATCACATCACAAATTCATCTATATTATTATGGGTTACAGTACTCTTTAAAATATCAGTGGGCAAAATAATCAGTCTTGATTGTGCCCCCTATACCCGCTCCAGTAATCAGGTAATTTCTTATTCGGGAATGTTGTAACATCACTGTCAATATTAAATATAAAAATTATCTTAAAACTGCTTTCTTAGTAATTGTAATTTTTATTGAAGCTTTGTTGTTCTTAATAAGTACTTAAAATGAGGAAGATCATTTGTAGTCACCCGGTATATACAGCATAGTATATACCATATGTGGCCTTTTACAATGTAGTGATGACAAAGTGGCATTTCTCTGTTATATATTTTTACAGGTGTGTGCCTTTTTTGAGCACCCCAGAAGCCATGGTCGAGTGGCAGTTTTGGGGTCAGCTCACATGTTCACTGACCAGTACATTGACCGTGAAGAGAACAGCAAAATCAAGGATGTTATATTCCAGTTCCTCACGGCCAAAGATTTCAAATTAAACCAGATTGATGCTGATGATCCAGAGGTATATGTGAGAAGGTTTTAGTTGTCATGGCTTACACTACTGTATATTAATGGAGAAGTTGGTGAAACCATGAATATTTAAATTGTATTAATGTTTAAACTGACCTCAATGGTTCATGGTTTACCCATTTGAACCATCTTATATACAGGTCTGATAATACTTGCAGAGTACAAGAGGCTCTGGATTTCAAGAATTAATTAGTGTAGAGTAATAGAATTCAAACACAGTACAGTACTGTAGAGTGGAAGATAGATTACATCATAGATAAGTTAGAAATTTGTTTTTTGTTTTCAGGTCTCTGACTACAATATGACACCAGATACTGCATCACTGGCAGAGAGTCTGCGCACCTGCCTTCAGGAGTCTGAAGAAGTACCTACAGATTATACACAGCTGTTTCATACTCAGGTAAAATATAATAATATTTCATTCAGTAATAAAAGAACTCTCTTAATGTGACCCACACTTTTATCAGCTGGTCGGTGGTGAAGCTTTAGGGGAGGAAAAATCTGCTAAGCTCTTATCATTATTACAATAATCTTCAAGATGATCAACATGACTATTATTTCTTGTGTTCAATATTTTGAGTATTTTTTATATTTCTTATAAAATTTTGTTTGAAAATGGGAATTATTAAAATATTTGGTGTAGTACTAAATACAATACAGGTTGGTAAGGTGTCTACCTAAAAAAAAACCGGCATTTTCAGAAATTGGAACCAGTACAGTACAGTAAACCTACAGTACTTTAAAGGTTTTTTTTCCCCAAAACTTTTGGGTCAGGGAACACTTCCTTATTTTTCCCATGGGAAGTTCAGTGGAATGGATAATGAGACTGTACGGTATCTGACCTTGTTTACTAGGGATGGGCTTACCTAATAACAATGTTGTATTGTATCTGTTTTTCTGTTTTATTTTCTCAAAATAGTTAACATCAATAGACATGCAGCTAGTGCCAGCTGGGATAGAAGCATATAATAAGCTGAATGTGAAACATGAACCTCTGCGCCTCATCACTCCACAATTTGAGACACCTTTGCCTCCACTACAGCCTGCAGTGAGTACAGTATCCCAGTTTTGTATATTTGAGATTTTGTAATAATAATCAAATATCTTTACCCAGAACAAACATAAACTTTTCTCCAGTACTCAGTGATATAATTACCTAAGAATAATTACCGTATTGATTCAAAGAGGTCCACAGCTCTCCCTTCCCAGTCACAGGGGATATGCTCCTTGGCAAAACTGATAATGAGGATAATATGATTGTGTAACCCATTATTGCTTTACCCCAGAAGACCTGCAATAGAAGTACTAAGTCATAAAAATGGACACAGTAATCTCCTATAAGCTGTACTGTATAACCTCTACATAAAGTGTAAAAATCAATTGTACTATACAGTATTGAATGAAGAACCTAAATAATAATAAATCAGAACCTACATCACAATGAGAGAAATTGTCAGATAAATTAACTTGCAGCAGAGACAAGATAGCCTGAGCAGCATTGAGAGTGAGTTGTATACAACCAGTGTGCTGTCTTCCCTGCTGACTGCTTTCATAGGTGCACCACCTATGATATTATTATTAGTCCTTTAAGTTATTATCATCATTGTTAATGTTTGGGTGTGAGTAAAATATTACTTATAAACTCTTCTAAAATAACAACCAGGCATTGCCTTGGATCACATTCACAATACACCAGAGTATTCGTTACTCTGAACAAGTTACATGCAAGACACCTCACTGCCTCTAACCTTATTTAAAATATATCAGCCATGCCTTATTCCTCTGGATAATTTATTCCTCTAGATAATTTATTGTATTAGTTTCAGTAATACACTGTACTGTATTCTTATTCCACTTATATTTAGTACCCGTAATGAGAGAGATATTGGAGAAACCTCGAGACTTGGAACCATGAGACGGGAAGTTGGTGCATTTTACTCTATCGTGAGAATTGGAAAGCGTGATTTAGGATGCCATGATTGGGAAGGGAAACCTGTAATTAGTATCTGAATTTTGTGTTACATAAAAAAATTTTCATGCATATTTTATGTGAATTATTATAAATTAAATTATTTTGCAGGTATTTCCTCCTTCCTTCCGTGAGTTGCCACATCCTTCACTGGAGCTCTTCGACTTAGATGAAGCATTTAGCTCCGAGAAATCAAGGCTGGCTCAGGTAAGGAATGCTGTTTTATAAATATGCATTAAAGGACTGAAGAAGGTAAGTGAAATCTGTCTTTACCACCTTGTTTATGAAATGGTATAATATATATATATATATATATATATATATATATATATATATATATATATATATATATATATATATATATATATATATATATATATATATATATATATATATATATATATATTAGTGTAAGATATTCATCAAGGTATATTGTAGTACAGTAATTCAAGTATTTGATTTCTAGCATATACCCTTTAGTAAGGCAGAGATAGAAACATACACCAGTGATACCCACTTTTGTGTGGTGTGTAAAAAATTTACACGGCCACCATATATTTGATAAAAAGGTACAATTTAAAGTTGTAAAGATCTGCAAAAGTTAAATGTATGAACTGTACTGTATACAGTATTTAAGGGGTACCTTAAAGTACTGGTCAGATTGGAACACTTCCTCATAAAAATGTACTACACTGTTAAGCCTAACCTATTTATATGCTATCATATTAACATACAACAAACCTCCATGGCCCATTGGTTGTGAAGAAATGGGTCTAGAGGGTTGTGAATTATGCCTTTAAAACAGTTGCCCTCTGTTGGACAGCCCCAAGGGGTTTTACCCATATTTACATTGAACAACTTTGAAACAGAAACCATTTTCTTGGGTTTATTAATATAATATGGTTATTGATTGGTTGTTACATTTTTTCAATATATTTTGACAGGTGACCAATAAATGTAAAGATGAAGATTTGGAGTATTACGTGCGAGAATGTGGAGATATTCTTGGTGTAATCTCTAAGCTGCCTCCTACATCAAGGGATGCTAAACATATACTTGAGTACATCTACACTCAACTTGTAGAATTCAAGAAATTGAACCAGGTATGTAAAATGGGTTTGTGTTATTACATCATTGTTTATTGTTAAGTGTTACGTTTTACAGCCTTAATGTGTTTTTGCCTCCCTGATTGTTTACTATAATACATGAGATTTTTATTTTGTGTTGTAAATATTTTGATACCAACATTTATTATTATATTCAAAATATATACATTGTTTTCATTCATTCTGCCCCATCAATTTTTTGTGTGGTCAGTGAAGGACATCTCCAAATGTACTTGTGTATATATTTGTGCTCGACGAATGTGTTCACAAGGAACAAATTTTATTGTGCAAACATCAGTAAAAAGAAACTCACTTTTGTAATTTTCAATGCAACTTCTTCATTTTCTTATCATGTTCCCTTACTCTCATATCCTTCTTTTGCATTGATATCTCCTAATGGTACTTTTCTGTTTTTTAAGTTTTTTGATACAGATATTAAACTGATCCCAAAGCTTCACATTTGTATCTTTCTCTGATTGGTCATGTATGTACTGGGGTAAACACTGTAAAAAGGCATATTTAACTAAACTACTTTGCATTCCAGCTAGAAATATTGAGGAATATTTGTTGCCATATCTTATAATTTTGTATTTTCATTATCAGCAGCACAAGGATTGTCATACCCCTTTTCTTTACCGTTACATTATTTTCATTCATTCCAGGTCTCACCACCCAACCTTTCATTCCTTCTCATATATCACTTCTCCCATACTCCTCTCACTAATAGATATGTTTCCTCAACTCTTCATATGCAGTACATACAGGTACCCCCAGATTTAAATAGGGTTGTGTTCCTGGAAACCCTAATGTAAATTGGGAGCCTTTTAACATGGTTTCAATGGGATACATTCCTGGTCTCTCCAATACAGACATGTTTCACATAAAAAGCTAATGTACACTAATTAAATACAAAAAAATTAAATCACACTCACCACAATAATAATAACAAGCCTGGCGCTTAACAGTGTCGAACTTTGTCTCCAGGGACACGGTCTTCCTTGAAACCTTGGCTTTCTCATAGGTGGGAGACTCGGCAAAACACTTGCTACCTGTTTTCAGTAAACATTAATAACTTCAGTCACCAAAACAGAACAAAATCTGAACAATAGTGTTATCATCTCACCAATAAATGGCAAATATCACAGCAATCACAAGGTAACATTGGTAACACGAGCGAGGGCAGGAGCGATCACGTTGGAACAAAGCGTGAAACTGTAGTATACAGGGTGGCGCGCGGGTAGATGATGCTGTGCAGAGGATGGAAAAGCAGTTTCTGCACATAGCGGCCATCTTGCATTTAACAAGTGAAGGGAGAGATGTGCTTACATTCTGTGTCAGCCAGTAGAGCCTCCTGACAGCTATCGTTAATGTGGAATTTGCCTAATGTAAATTGCAAGTGTGTTAAAACCTAACTAATATTAAAGCGGATTATCGTAAATCGGGGGATACAGTACCTGTATTTAGTCTATCCTTCTGTGAAATTTTGAAATAATTCCCTCATCTTTTCTACAGGATTAATTTCACTCATATTAGATGCAATTATATTTTAAAAGCTTCCTGTGCTCTCCTGCTGCCTTTTCACCAATGTTGCCTTCACCCACAAGGGGCCACTGGTTGGGGATGCACTAAGGAGACTGTGGATGATCATGCTTGTACTGCCCATCTCCTGTCTTGTATCAATGAAACTTCACATTACTGGACTCTTAAAATTTTAGAAACCACTATTTTTGCACCTTTTTTTTTAATCTGAATTTTATGTTGAGGTTCCATGTCTGTAAATACTGGATGGAATGTATACAGGGAACATCTGGCTTAGTAGTCCTTCTGAAATGTAAAAATAACTAAGCCAACAGATATACAGTAGCCTCAGTTAATCTCAATACAGTATTCATGTTTTGAAAATACTGTAATACATTTTCTACTTGGTTTTGCAGTTGTTGTTTTTTATCTGTCCATTATGTTGAGTATTGTTTTGATAACTGATGTGGTGGATCAGGCAACTCATGTACTGCATCATCAAGCTTGCAGGATGATGCCTCGAGGTTCTCCAGAGTTCCCAGTACCCTTCCACTTTTGTGACTAGCATATGCGATACTGTACTCAAAAACTCAACTTGAAAACTAGAGACAGGATCTCTCAGATCAACTGAAACTCCTAAAAATCAGGATAACTCTTGATGAATCAGTTGCCACAGGCTATAAGCTAAGAGTTTGTTGCCACCATGCATTTGTTCCATGGTTCAAGCAGGCCATAAAATAGGACCCAGTTTCAACCAGGTTTCAGTTTCCAGTCACACCTGCTGTTTGAACCTCTCATCTGGCTCCATTTTTTTAGGCAGCTGAATGGATTTTTTACCTGTTTATCTTCATTCTCTTGAAATGAGGTTAAGCTTACCATGGTAAGTGCAAGGTAAATGAGTTGTAAATTAGGTAGTGGTATAAATCAAATGGCAACACATAGGTAAAAGGGTTCAGCTTAAACCAGGTATTGCTGTACTGTACTTCATTTAATTACTGAAATATAGAGTAGGGTGTTATTCCCTTAAAATGTTAGCATTGGAGTTTTGAAGTTAAACAAAATTCAAGAATACAGTATTGAAGAGAAGAAAGTGGTAAAGCAAGCATCCTACAAAAGGAAAGTATTGGATAGAAAGTAAGCAACAACTGAAAACTTTGACCCTGAAAACACCAGCTGTACCTGAAATCACAACTATGAAGGAAAACATTATTCTCAGTGGTCAAGTATCATCAGAAAAAAGAAAAAACAAAGAGCAATCCAAGATATATTTATTTAAAGAGAAAGTAAGACAGAAATATGTAATATTTCTAGGATTACTCTTTAATAGTGAATGCCATTGAAACAAGCTTTAAAGAAAATTAGGGTGACCTTCAAGAGGAAAAGGATAGCACCTAAAATGACTAAAAAGGTTGAGGCAGAGATTTTCCACGGCATTAGACTCACTCTCTAGGCGACGCAATAAAAAAAGTCATTCCAAACCTGTTTATTTATACCGGCATTTACTAAAATCAGAAATGATTTGCAGACATGAGATGCTCGTGTAAAGACGAAGATATGGATACTGTCGCCCTGAGAAATTAAAACACTTGAACTGGCAAGACTAACATACCAAAAGGTGACAAAAAGGAAGAAACCTGAGTTGTTTTTAATGATTTTAAAGTTTCAGAAAAATAGTCAAGACAAATAGAACCTGTTTTGAATGTGGTGTACATCTGTAAAGGAGAAAAGGACAAAAGTGGTATGAAGTGTCATGTTTTACTTCCACAGACATCAGTTGGGGTAATAAACATTCATATTAAATTTAAATCCTTTAGAAAACCCCTACATACTCTCATAGTAACATTTCTGGTTTAGGAGTTACAACAAGAATAGGTAACTTGGACATACAGGGTAAATGTCTGATGTAGATGAATTTAACCTTTGATCTCATAGGTGTTACATTAAGATTCATTTTTGTGTAATTTTTGGTTCAAATGATGATTACTACATATCATTGATTAATTCTTTTGCTCGGCACATTTAAATTACGGTACACTTAACCCTTAAACAGAGTAAAGCATCCCTAAACTGACTCTACATGCACAAAAACTGGGACGAGAGGAACATGAAACATCCATTGATGTTGGCCACCGTCCCTGCAGCCAACATAAATTTATGTTGGTCACTGTTTAAAAATTAATGAATGCTAAGCGCACACTCAGTATATGGTGTGGATACACTCCATGTATGCTCAGCGATGTTAAGTACATACAGTACTCAGCACTTGCTCAGCTTATTATTAGCGCACACACTCAGCATATGCCTGGCACTGCGAATCCACTCTGTGTACTCTGCATACACTCAATACAAACTCAGTACGTATATATTTTGCATATGTTCAGTATATATTCAACACAGTATATACTCAACATTTCACATACTGCATATTTTCACTTTATTTTGGGGGCATACTCAATGCATGCTTAGTATGAACATAAACTCAACAGTCAGTGTAGATGTTCACCACATACTCCGTAATTGCTCACCACAAGGTTTTCATACGCTCAGCAAATTCTGACCACATACTCAATACTCAGTAAAGTTTACAGTACTGTACTCTATACTAAACACACACATATGGTACATAATCACTGAACATGTACCTAAGTGTTTTTTATTCTCTACATCACCTTTCTGATTTGGCCACACAATATCTTATGTAGTGCTTTACCCGATACCTGAAAGAAGTGCAGTAACAGGCTCTAATGTAACTCTGTACCAACATTATCTTTCACATTCTTGTTCAAAACTAATCAACTTTGTGTAATCAAATCAGTTAATATCAGCATCAGTGTCCTTGAACTCGCTGTTGGGTTACTCGATATTAAAATTTAGTATTTAGGCTCTTCCATTAACTCTTGAAGTACAAACTCTTCATTACATTATTTTGTCTCAGACATATTAAAAACACAATCACTACAGGAGAATGTAGGGTAATGCCAATGGAAGAACTCCTAGTAAGTTTTTTTTTTTTTGCATTAAGGGACATACATTTGGGCAGAAAAATTTGACATTTCACATCATTTTTGTCTTAACATAGTATTGAAACTTATACCTGAGGAAATTTGTAAGGAATGTACTGTTTACTGGAAGCAATATGATTACATCTTGACAGGCAAGAGAACTTCAACTGGAACTCAACAAGAGAAGATTGCATTTCTGCAGAGAGAAATGTCACCAAGAGAGCTGTTTCAATACTTTATTAAGTTGTTGGAGAAATACCCCTTCCATCAGCTAATGGCTCTCTGGGAAAGAAAACAACTTGATGATTATATCATGTTGTCTTTACCCATTAACCACCATGAAAGTTAATTGTACAGAGGTAAGAATGAGTTCCAGGCTCAGTAGTGTGACTTAACTAAGGCAAGTCTTCACATCATTGTCATGTTTATATTCATCTTCACGAAGATGTAATGGCAAGGAAAGCATTGCACTCTTGAAGAGCTACAAGTTATTGAAGCACACATTTTGTCAAACATTATGATTTATGCACTTTCCCAGGTGCTCATTGTAAATTAAAATTGCTGTTGGCTAAACACATGAGTTTACAGAAATTATGCAGTTCTGGACGGGATAGTATAAGTTGCAGTGGAGATTTCAAACATTGCCTTGCAAACTGACTTTCCAGTCCAAATACTTTTTTTTCTTCATACCTTGCATGCAAAAATGGTCCTTTTGAAAGTATATAATTTTTCTGGTTTTCCACCAAGAAATAAATGAATTACACCATGCAATAAAGGAAAATGGGAGTAATTTAGGGTGCCGCAAAATAAAGCAAAGTATCAGACCATGAAATGCTACCAATAATATATTTATACACACTCAGTGTGTACAGTGAAAGAAATGAAAACTAACCTATTGGTAGATGCTTGTGCTTGGGTCAAGAAACAAGTAGATAGGCCCCACTCAACACGAAGGTTAGATTCTTGAATGCACGTTGGGTGAGCTTCAGAAGATATGGGGATGATGGGGAGTGGGACATTCAGTCTTCAGATGACCCAAAAAATAAATACTGTACTGTACAAGTTTTATATTATGAAAACCATTAATGTAAGTTAATATTCAATGAAATCATCATACATACTCTTGTCAGGGTTGAGTCTTTAAGACCAAATCTTAAGGGTAAAGTTTGGGGCTATCTGAAACATGCATGTTATTTCTGTGGGAATGATATTCAAGCATGTGCAAGTGTTGAGGCATTTGGAAAAGGGGGAAACAAGTTGTGGGTAAGGTATCACTAGAGCTATAGTTTAACATCACTTCTGAGGTTTGTTTTGTTTTTCTATAAAATCTGAATATTCTTTGTTCAAACTAAATCTCGGTTTAACATAATTTCTGATTTGTTTTTATTAATTTACTAAATTTATTTGTTTCATTAAACTATGATAATAAAACTGTTTAAATCAATCTTAACATTTAAAACTTCTGACATTCATATTTTTCTTTATTTTTTTTGGCTTGAAATGCTGTTCAAATTAAATTGCAACATATAACATCATTACTAAAAATTTTATATTTTTTCATTAAAAAGTCTCAGTACGATTGGTTTTATGTAACTCTCAACATTTATCATCATTTCTGATGTCTTCATGTTTCCTCATTCAAAAAATATCAGAATGTTTTGTTCAAACTAAATCTCAACTTTGAACAGTATTCCAGGCCACCTCCATCCAGCTGGCCTCTATAATAAGATCATCATTTAATCTCCTGTTATTTATTTATTTTACATTACCGTACTGTACCTGTATTTAAAATATTAAATATAGCTTTATATGTTTTAAGTGAAGTACAGTACCATTTATCAGAACAAATTCATAAAATACAGTCTCTCCTCGACTTACGACTGGGTTCCGGACCGACGACCAGGCCGTAAGTTGAAAATGTGAAAATAAAAATTCTAAAATGAAATACGGTACAGTAAAAGTATCAATAATGAAAAATTAATAAAGTGTTACTGTGCACTTACCTTTAATGTAGTCAGCTGAATGCACACGGGGCCACAATATTTTTTTAATTAAACATGGAGACTACATTAATTGGATGAAGCAGAGGAGGAGACAGGGCTGGGTGGGTCATCAATTTTGCTTTCTTCAGACAGGCTAACATACTTGCTTGTCTAAGGTATTGAATCATCTTTAGGGAGTGAAGAGGTAGCAGTGGTGGGGCATGAGGAGACAGCAGTGGGGGGACTTCTTAAAATATATGTCCAATTTAGACTGCACAGTTTGCCTTTTCTTTTCATTGTAAATCTCCCTCTAGCAAGCAAGTGCATCTTGGATCTGTATGTCAACTTTTGCAAAACGCTCAACATTTTGATCCATTTCTTCAAACATTTGCATCCCCTTATTAATACTAGCAAATGCCTCTGCCTTGTCCTTCAAAATTGTTGATTTCGTCGAATGAGAGAAGCCATGGTTGCCACTGATTTTCCATTTTCACATTGCATTATTATTTTCATTTTCATCTCATAAGTAATTGAATGTCTCCTTTTCTTATCAGCACCATGAGAACTCTCACTTTTATGCTTGCCAGCCATTTTAAAGGGAATTAGAAACGAAAATTTTGTCAGTACACAGCGTGATCACTAACAATAACGAAAGGCCAAACACCAACTGAGCGGGCTACGGCGTGGATGCAGTACACCACGAGGCGGCCCAGTCCACGCTATCGTACGGAACAGAAACGTTTCGGTACTAGAAAATACGTTATTTGAAAAATATTTTATACGACTACGGCGGTCGTATGTCCGGGTTGTCGTAAGTTGAGGAGTACCTGTATAACCCCTAACGGAATTCCAACCCAAAACATAACATTTACTCTAGTTTGTGAAATATTAGAGGTTGGCAAGATTTTTGGAAAACACCTTTTTCTTCTGTATCTCAAAAGTCATTCCATACTTTTTGGATTCCTTTAATGCAAATTTTCAGAACTCGAGGGACACCTGTAATATGTTCTTAGTGTTTTTATATACAGGCACTGTTTGTATACTAATGTGGCATGTTTTACATTTTCAGGATCCAGAGACCTTCAGTAGACCCAGATCTGAGTTGGAAGATATCTGAGGGTGAGATCTTTCACTAACTGTCTGCTTGTTGGCAGGAACACTGTACTGTATTTATTATAACTGTTATTGCCATTACAGTAATGAATACAGTCTGTAGTATAAAGACACTTGTGGCTTTTTACTTGCACAAACTACAAATAAAATAATTAAAGGAAATAAGCACATGCAGTATATTATACAGGTATTGTACTCTGAATCTGAACAAGATGCATTGATAAACAGAATGTGCCACACCCCAGAAACCAAATGTCATTTTGTATTTAAAGCAGATTAACACTTACCCCCAATATAGGCACAGTATTGTATGCTTTATTGGAGTCGTTTTGAAAGATCATGGACTTGATTTCATTACATCTTGTGAATGAGATATTGAATGTTATGATAACATTCAGAATTTTATATTAAATTATGGGAATGCATTTTTAATATATATATATATATATATATATATATATATATATATATATATATATATATATATATATATATATATATATATATATATATATATATATATATATATATATACATCTGCTCCCCGACTTACAACGGGGTTAGGGACCCAAATCCAGGTCGTAAGTCAAAAATACTTTAATAATACATAGAAAATCTAAAATGGGTGTCTCTTTTTCTTCTCAACACCACAAAACTCTCACTTTTAAGCTTTCCAGCCATTTTAAAGTGAATTACAAACGAAAATTCTGTCAGTGCACATTGTAATCCCTGACATTGGGACTCGAAAATATGTAATTTGACAAAATTTTGATACGTCTGAGGCGGTCGTAAGTCGGGGAGTATATGTATACTGTATATATGTATGTATATATATGTATGTATGTATGTATATATGTATGTATATATATATATATATATATTTTTTTTTTTTTATTATGTGCTATTAATGTACTGTAAAAGTTTCATCCTATCTACTTCATGAATTACCATAATTCATTCTGTTAACAACTGGTTCATGCCATCACCACATTACTAGTTATAGTATTAGTTAGTGAGAGTTTGTGGGGTTCTTGTGTCACCTATTTATATACTGTACAGTACTGTATTATTTAAGTATCTTGTGGTTGAACACACAGTTTTTCATGTACAGGCATGTTGTAATTTTACCATTATGTATTTTATTGTAATTTAGATTTACTTTTTATATAGCACATAACTATATGTATGATTAAAAATGTTAGATACTGCATAAATAAAATTATTTGAGAAATTGAGAAGGGCGCCTAAAATTTTTACTATTTTCAAACTTTTGTCATAGAATTGGTTCACACAACACCATTTGGCTTTTCTATTTATTTTCCAAAATATAGCACACACTATTGTTATTAATTATGAATTAACTGACAGAAAGCAGCCACCCTTTTGAGAAATATAGGAGGTAATTTACAGAGCTCCATTACCCGGTAACACATCTGTTGTGTGAGATACAGGGGTTAAGTCCACTGCGGGCTGGGCACTTGGTGATGACCTCTGCAAATCGGAGGTGTGCGGAGGACATATCCATTGAGAAAAAAGGGGTTCTTCCCCTGAAATGTTCTATGCATATCACTGTTAGGCATTTACCTAAAGTTCTACATGTACAGCTCAAGGTTAAAAAGTTTTGGGTATATGCTATATAAAGAAAAAAATATTAAAAAATGCCCAAGTAAAATAATGTTTACTGTACTTAAAAAAAATCTGAAGTGTATAGACACTACGAAACGTACACACCACCTATATGTGGTGAGAAGTGGTGGCATTAAGGAGTGTGAGAAAATCATTGCTGAAATTTACTTGGTGTCTACAGTGTTACGTCAAGTGGCTCAAACAAAGTACTAATATTGAAACCTAAAGGATTGAATAATACCTTAATAAATTATGTTACTGTAAAAATATCCTAATATTTTCCATACAATAATATAGTTAATTTAATTTTGCACTTACCAGCCAATTTTGAAACTAAATGGCACCAAATTCAAATTTTACCAGTCAGTCACTTTCATTGTGAAAAAATTGGCATTTCCGGTAAAACCGTACTTTTCAAATTTTGGATTTTACTGTAGCCATATTTAATACTGTTCAATGTGAATTTTTGAAAATTACTTTAAAATCCTCACTAATTCTGTATCTTTTTCAACAATATGAAGATGTCACAATACATTCAATTTACACAAGATCGAATATAGTTTTAAATGGATCTAGACAGAATCTGGAATACAGGAGATCCTCTACTTATGAACAAGTTACGTTCCTGAGGCTTGTTTGTAAGTCCAACTTTACACTTGTAGATACCAAACATATTGTACAAAATGAAAAGATTATGGATATTTAGCACAGCTATACCCTTTAATACAGCCTTAAAACCTGGCTCACTCTATTCCTCTTAGGTAATGTTTGTTCTTTCTGGAATTTTCTTCAAAACAATCCAGTCTCATCCACGTTAAACACCTGTTCTGGCAGATAATCCCCCTCAGTGATGATGTTTGTATCCCTAAAAGTTTGTAAGTTGAATGTTCTTAAGTAGAGGAGCACCTGTAGTAAGAAACTGCTGCATGGCTACTCCATTTGCATCTACATTAATGTTAAGTGATGATTATTGCCAAGACAATAGAAAGAAGCCATATACTATGAATGATGAAACTATGCAAATTGATTAATGAGGTTACAGAAGGAAGAGGACCTGGGCCTGGTAGATGATGATAAATTATCATTTGGAGAACATATACAATACTGTACACGATGGAGCACATGACGAAACACACGATTGACCTGATCCAGAGAGCATCTCCTGAGGTGGCCATGGAAACACATGAATACTTAAAACTGGATACAGTACCATGGCTGACAAGTGTACAAAATATAAAACATGGATACTTAAACCAGTGGATGGCAAACCCATAGTTGATAAGGGATTACCCTGTATATTATTGCAAGTGTGTGGTCATTCATCAACAATCTCATATATATATATATATATATATATATATATATATATCACTTTACACCAGTGTTGTATTTTTACCGTTTAATAATGTAATAATTAAAATTTTATTCAATTTGTATGTTTTTTGGCATCCTTGTGGGCATCTGACATTGCAGAGAGTAACAGTACCCTATCGTGGAAACCCCTTAGATTAAATAAACAACAGCACAATAATACATAACAGGAATACTGTATACTATTACTTACTACTTTTCTGTCATTCAGAATACTGTACCTCTATTCACAACCCCGCTTACACACAATTGACATTTTAACGCTCCTATTCGATATTCACAAAGCATACCCCGCTTATTCGCAAAGAAAAATTACGGTATCACTTCACATGAGCATTTTTTTTTTCCATGTTGCTTAAAAATTAATAAAGTTCAATGGGTCTATTCACACGAGTGGTATGAGGTAGTGGTAGTGACGGGAGTGTGGTGGTGGGTGTGTGTGAGCTGCTGGCTGGAACACAACCCCCCTATTTACATTAATTCTTATGGGAAAAATTGCTCCGACATTTGCAAATTAGTTATACACAATGACTTTTAGGAATGTATCCTTTGCGATATACTGTATATATTTTTTTTAAACAAGGACAAACATAGAATAAATGGGTAAACACATACAAGTCTTCTTTGTAAATAAAGGCTAAAGAGACAAGTCTGTTTGTCAAAGAGGTTGGCTGGGTAAGGCTTGAATTGCAGTTATGACCGACTGTGAATGACAAACCTGAAGGCACACTGCTGGTATGGCATCATGATAACCTTTAATGGCAGCGGTTTCTTCTAATATTCTCTTCAAAGGCACTAGTAGTTATGGGAAGATAAAAACCTTCCAGTCATCATGGTCAGGTTATCCCTGGTTTTCAGCTTGCAGACTTTGGTGAAATAGTAAAAGAGATGTTTTGGCTGAGCATTAGATAATAGAAAAACCATTATACAGTAAAATGAAATGACTTATAGTTTTAATCTACTCTTACAAGTCTTTCCCAATGACACTGTAAGGTGGCCAGAACCAGTATAATATATACATATTTCATTAAAATTGTGCATTTAATCATTAATGAACAAGTACAGGTATACATGTACTTTTTTTTTAATACAGTAATAATTAATAGCCGGGATAAATAATTTCTGAGCCAAGAAGGTAAAAAAGAATTCTATAAAATTAATAAAGTTATATTTAAAATAATTAAAAAACAAAACTAATAATTTAAGAACAATATCTGTGCACCAAATAATACAATACTATCATAAAGCCTGTGCTACCAATACCCAAAAAAACTTACAGTACTAAAACTTCTTTGTCATATATCTGAACCACTTCTTTGATGCAAAACATGATGGATTAACACACAAGGGACAATTGTGGAGGAATTGTTCTGAACAGCGATGACTTGTATTTAGGTGGCTGCTGACGACATCCACCAATGCCTCAATGAAATGAGGATGGTCATTCGGAGAAGCACAGCGACGTATACACTCGGCTCCAACCTGTGAGAAAAACTACTACGTTAGCAAAATTGTAAATACTGTAATGATTCTAATTTTAAAAAGGAAGTTAAAAGGAATTATTTTGCCTGTGCACAATTGTAACTTTATACATCATATTTTGCAATGCAATTCCTGAAATAATTGCACACTAAAATACAGTGGTCCCTCGGTTAACAAATTACTTTCCATAAGAATCTTCAATTTGGTTAAGGAACAAAAATTCGATTAACGAAATTCTTAAGAAAACATGTCAACATGTTTTGGCTTGCTCATCAGCCGGTAAGTTAGTCCGCCAATACAGTAATCGGTTCTAGGGCTTACATTCTTTCCCATTGAAGTAAATATCAAGAAGGTTGTGCTATTCAATATTTTTCCAAGTTTTATACTATTAAAATTATTAATCATTTTAACACTTATTTAACATAATTGCAGTACAGAGAACTAGTTTTTGGTGCGCCCATCAGCCACTTCACTCACCCACCAAGGCGTCTGTTTGTGTGTCTGTTCAGTGGAGGAAACATGTTGCTTGTGGTTCTCTTGAACACAGTATTTTTACGTTTTTACAGTACAATTATTGGTCATTCTGAAATTTATATAACATATTGATAATATGTAGCGCAGTGCAGTGTTGATTTAAAGAAAATAATCTTGAATTACACCTAGTGAACTTAAAATTTTATTGGTGAAATGATGGCATCAAGCATGGGTCCCCTGGAAGGTGATTTCTCCTCCATCCCCACTTCCTTCTCTTCTCCCTTCTCCTCCACCCCCACTTCTAATTCCCATCATCATCATCAACCAGGAGCCTTCTACATACACACCTCAAAGTAAGTGTACTTTATTGCATTTTTTTTTTACTTTGTATGTACCTTTCGGTGAGCTGGAACCAATTACCCAATATCCCAATGAAACAATGGATTCGGTTAACGAACGACCTTCTGGAACGAATTGTGTTCGTTAACCGAGGGACCACTGTACAGTGTTAGTATGTGATTAATACATTCTCATAAAAGTTTCTAATAATTGGGGCATCACCTAAATCAGAGGTGTAAGTGCCAAATGTGCGAATTTAAGATAGGGGTTTTTCCATTTTCAATTCTTCGTCGATTGGTATACGTACGGTACTTACAACCATAGCATGTGGCAGCTGCATTTGCGGGGTCCCAATGTAACCTGCAAGTGGCAATGTTTTGAGAAGATCAGAAAAGCAGACATCAAATTTGGTGTTTGATGATCTCTTGGAAACTAGGCAACTACAAACTGCAGAATGCCTATCTCGACAAGGCAAAGCACTTATGCCCGTTCTATGCCAGAGGTCACGTACGCATAACCTTTAGTTGTCGATATCTCAAAATGTCAGTTTGGCACTTAAACCCCTGCTTTAGGCGACACCTTAATTAATGACAGTGGCTAATGGGAACATGACATAAAAAACAAGACAAGGATCACACTACAAGACAAAACAAGGATTAAGGACCCCCTAGTAAGTCATCCAGTTTACAAGTACTGCCTGACAAAGGGTGAATGCCAGAAAAGATTTTGTGGCTGTGCCCCTATTTCAAGCCTTACTTATGTCTATTTGCTCCAAATTAAGTCAGGAAATGTAATGTTACTTATCTGTTTTGAAAACTGACAAAAACGAGGCAATTCGAGAATCAGCTGATCAATTTGACCAAAAGATCTTCCCACAATGGATTCAAATGCCCAAGTTTTCAACTATCAATGGACACCCCATTTTCTATGTTCAAATGGGAATTGAATGGAAGTAAGCACACTAAGGCTTAGCCATCTCACAGGTGAATCCTCTTCTCCATGAACTGTGAGGTCTCGTTATGACTGGAAACTTAACTACTGTATTTTGACAGCTCATTAATGCTGATGAAATGAGGTAACAAGGGCTCTGTCATGATGAATTAAAGAGCTCTCAACATTGTGAGCCAGTCACAAAGTCTGTCATCATAAAAATATTTACCCTAATGTACATTATACATCTGTTTATGTAAAACTTACCTCTTCACCAATATCCTTGGCATACTCAATGTCCAGCTCATGAAGGGTCTCAATATGGTCACTAGTGAAAGCTATGGGAACTAAGATCATGTTTCTCCTCCCCCGCTGCACCAAACCTTTAAAACAACAATTGCATACAATTAAATAACTTTTGAAACTGAAACATAATAAGATGATAAACAGACACTGTTCTAAATTTATCAAAACTGTATTGATGAAACAGTGGTAAGTGAGGCAACTTTAAGTGGGGATTCCTCATATCTAATACAGTACAGTATTACATTTTATAATTGTTTCTCTATAACTGCACTTTTGGATTGAGTCAACCATGCTCTTCCTCTCTTTCCACATCACATATCTATTCTCCCAAACACTTCTCTGACAGTCTCCAACTGAATTTTCTCCTTTGTTGCAATTCAAGCTATACTAAAATTCTATGATTAATTGGCATAAACTAGTCTATAATAGTTTTGATTTAAAAGGGTTGACTTTATCTTCATCTCTGTTTCCTGAAAAGGTACCACTTACCCTTGATTGCCTCATCAGTGGCAGGTGACAGCCAGGGAAGTGGACCAACTTTGCTCTGCCATACTAAACGATATGGGTTGGAAAAGCCTAACTGCTCCATCACCAGCTGTACAGTGGCTCCCACTTCAGCTGAGTATGGGTCTCCACGGTTAACTTGCTGTTGAATAAAGCATAGTTTTAAATGATCATGACTTAGTTTTATTATCATTGCTGATAAAATTACAGTAGTGTTGTTTAAATAATGCCTGAATGAATAAAGATATCAAGTTTAAATCCAACGATGATTTAAAATTCAGAGGCATAGCATACAGTACTGTAGTTTCAAACAAATGATTGAATTAGTGCTTAATAATCTGCCTTAAATCCATGAATAAATTAAGATCTTTACAACAAAGCTATAAGCCAGTGGCTTTGTGTTTGTACATTACCAAGGTGTCATGCATGACAAATATGAAGAAATTCTTCACACACAAGGTGACAGATCAATAGAACATTTAATCTACCAGCTCAAGCTGTGGAATCAAGAACAGTACTGGGTGCCAAAATAGCTCAAGACATAACTATCAAGAACAATGGAGGGATCCTACGCTGGCCACTGTCCTCCTTCCCTGGCATGGCCACTTCTAGTTTGGGTGGCCATTAGGTAAATCAAAACCAACTTATCTAATGTTTTCCATTTTCATTTTCACTAAATGAGCCAGTAATGATTTGTCTAACAAAAAACAAGTATCAAATTCACTGGTACCCTGTATTGCCTTCAAGAAATTACTAATCCGATTACTAATATGAAAAGTACAGTTTGGGACTGTTACTGAGTAGCTTTGAAAAACATTAAAAAGAATGACTGACCCTTAGTGGCAGAGAGTGTGCTGAGAAAAGAATAAAAACATCTTTTTGTTTTTCTTTAGGAAACTGGTCTAGTTCCTTCTGGATGTTTTCAGCAAAGCATTTGACAAGGAATGAGTTTGTACACCATCGATCGATCACACTCCAGTTCATCCTCGACTCCTCAGACCTGCAAAAGAAGATTGATCCATAAGCAGAAAAATTATGTGCAGTTGCACTTGAAACATTAATTTTGTTCATGAAAAAATCTGTATGAGGAGTGAAGTTACAAATTGTCTAACTGGTTTTAGGGTGTTAGGTTCTGACCCACCTCACTAAACCCTAATTTTGCTGAATTTTGGAAAATATGCACAATCTGTTAAATTTTACACCTTTTGCAATAAAATACTTGGAAAATACACACCCATGACTTTCATAGCACTTATCAAAAGCCATATAGTACAGTACTATACTGTACTGGGTATTTATATACAAAATAATGTTTATCAGCACAATCCTTACAAAATTTGTATCCCTCCATCACTATTTAAGTAGATTACCCCCCCCCCCAAAAATGCCACTCTGGTATGTGTTAAATTCGATTTATTTAGTAGATACATTTCTATACATAAATATGGCTTTGTTGAAATTGTTTTGCAATTTTATTTAATAATAATCCCACTTTATGGTCCTGGTTAATAAGTTTCTTCTCACACAAATGGCACACCAACCAATGACTGAGCTATAAATAAATCATTATACATTAGTAATCTTTTTCACAAAAATGAGTGTGGGTATAGAAATGATACTGAAAATGGGTGAAAAATCACTTACTCACCTTTTTGCATAAAACTGATGAATGGCATTCATGCTTGAGCCTGTTGTGCTGCAGCTGTATTGTGGATATTGTGAAAAAGCGATACAATTTTCAACGCCATCACTGTGGAATAAAAAAAAACCTTGATCTGAATTTGCAAGAGCTTTACAAAGATGTAAGTAAGCCTACAGGCCTTCAGTGAGACCTGTGAGCCAGTGGTCAACAAGAATTTCAGCCTGTGATAGATGAAGCAAACAACACAATGAGAAAATATTTACTGCATATCATTTAGACTCAGTACTGTACTAATGCAAAACATGAAATTCAATGTTACCTGTTGACAGCATAATACAGAATCAAAGTACAGGTACTGTAGCTTCATTGATCATTTCATATTCAACAAAGCAGAATACATTTACTGATATATGAGATCCTGAGATATTAAATTCCAATTGAATCTTTAATCAATTTTAGAAAGGTAGTAATGTAGCTGGCAAACTCAGTTCTGGAAGTGCTGGGGACAGGTACAATAGTTATACATTCTCCAAGTTATCCTTCTTTTCCATAACCATATTTACTCTGCAAAACCACTTGGTTCAGCCAGCCACACACTCTTGAGTACCAGGAATCTAAATACTGTGCAGTATCTATTTTTGGAGAAAAAATTATCCTTAGGATTTTCAGATTCAAAATCCACTCTAAACCTCATCAGCTGATCTTACCTACATCGGTCAGCTGATGGTGCGCTCATGCCGACCACACTTCTTTTTCATCACACAAAAAGCATTATAGATTCTTACTTAGTGTACTGTCCTTAAAATGTCAAAAAACAAATGCCAAAAGAAATATTAAAAATGCTGCAGCTGTGCAAAAAGAAAACAAAGTACTTAGTATCAAAAGAAATAGTGGAAGTTACATTATTCAAACAGCAAGAGAGGTTAGTGCAGGCATGCCACACACTGAATGGCATCCCATTATGTGTCAAGAGTACTGCACTGAGGATACACTTGAAATTCAGACCAGTCGTAGTGAATGGGTGAAGAATTATTCTGTACAGCTGAGACAAAATGTCCAATAAATCAAGATAAAGGATTCTATCTTAGTGACAAAATAATATACATACTCTTCCATCTGCTGTAGTGTGTCTTCTGTGAGAGGATGGGCATAACGGAAGCCAATGTAATGCTTATGGGGAGCAGATTCAGGACACTGAGCATCCAGACGTTCACACAGTAACTTTCCCTGAAAACAACAATGAACATCTACTTCGGTAAATTCTTTCTAAAAAAAATTTGGATGTGGGTATCACTGAATATCAAGAACAATTCCCCACACTGAAAAATAAACAGGGTGGAGTAGATCTCACCCAATCCATGGATTCTCAATTTGCCAATCTACGGTCAACTGAATTATGGAAAATATGCACAATCTGTTAAATTTAACACCTTTTGCAATAAAATACTCAGGAAAATACCACTAGATGTGGTGACAATTAAATAAATTAGTTAATTTTTAATACTGTACTGTATAAGTACTGTATTCATTTCACATTTTTCTTTTATTCTCGATGAACTGACAGCAACACCTGCTATAGAAGATGGTACAGGACAAAGGCAGACCATCCTGTTTAAGTAATATAGAACTACTTTTTGTACTGTACAATATCTCTGTATTACGTACACTGTTTAGTGTTTAATACAATCTTGTATTAAGCAAAGTTTAGACAAATATTCATTGGAAGGTACAAAACACATTTTATTAGAAAGGGGAGCATGAAACTCAGGAGGTAGGTGTGTGGATGTTGCGAGGCAGGGAGTTAAGGGGTCTGCGTGAAACTTAAGCTGTGTCAAACTCGCGAGGCCACTGTACTTTACAACAGTAAATCTAATACTGACTGTACTGTACATAAATTACTACACCACGTCAGGCCCCTCATAACACCATCTGTGGGAGAATTACTACACCACGTGATGCCCCTCATAACACCATCTGTGAGGGAGTTACTACACCACGTGAGGCCCCTCATAACACCATCTGTGAGGGAGTTACTACACCACGTGAGGCCCCTCATAACACCATCTGTGAGGTAATTACTACACCACGTGAGGTCCCTCATAACACCATCTGTGAGGGAATTACTACACCACGTGAGGCCCTCATAACACCATCTATGAGGGAATTACTACACCACGCCAGGTCCCTCATAACACCATCTGAGGGAACTACTACACCACGTGAGTTCCTCCTAACACCATCTGGGAGGGAGTTACTACACTACGAGTTTGCTGTTCAACACCTACATTAATCTGTATGTTCACTGTATGTTCCTTTACCTTTCTCTAATGAAGGCTTTTGTTAAACCACCAATGTATGTAATAAGTCATTTATGTCCAATGTATATTTTCAGCCTTCGGGCTGCAGAATTTTTTCAATAAACCGTTAATTATTATCATTACACACACACACACACACACACACACACACACTCTCTTTTCCCAGTTTTAAAGAGGAACAGAGCATAAAAGAATTTCTCAAACCATTAGTCAATATTCACAGCTTACCTGTATATCAGTCCATTTAAAGATTGGAGATCCACCACCAATTTCATCATATTTCTCTTGAATGCTTGGTGTTCTCCGCTTGGCAATCCATGGGCCCATATAACTGAAGAATGATACATCCATATGTTCAAAAACTATTACCAGAGGCAAACAAAATAGTAGACAGTACATTTACCTGCAGGTTATGATGCACATGATTAACTTTGACAATGTGGTTTCCCAGCTTGCTGGCAAGAAATCTTGGTTGAGGTAATTTTGTCTATGAATGGTACATTCGAACTACAATATATTATTTTACATGAACATTACTTAAATAAATTAACTTTTATTTGAAATACAGTACTGAACTGTAATTTTTCTTTTTTTCCTTACGGGGGGTACGCGGTGCAATACCCACAGCCCTCTCAGTCTGGCCCTGGTAAATACCACTCATTTATACATGGAGTTCCTGAAGAAATCTTATAAAACCTGAATGCACCTATTTACAAGTCACAATGACCAGGTATCAAAGAAAATAAAGATTTCACCAAAATGTAACTGAAATGGAAATTAGAATTTTCCGTAACAGATTTGGCCTTTTTTCTTAATGGAACTTAATGGGTTAACACAAGTAGACAAATTTTAAGAATCAAAACTGAAATGAGGCAATAATTTTCACAGATGTTGGTTTGGGCAATGACACACGGCACCTAGCAATTGATATATTTTTTCCAAGCCATCCTCGTTTGAGCATACAGTACAGTATTTACCATTAGCAGCAGCTTGTACAGTGCACTCACTACTATGTGTAAACACTTGGGCATCCATACACATTGATGATTTAATTTCTGAGACCATACATTATAAAAAAAATTACAAATCAATTGCTTGAAGATATTCAAATCATAAATTAAAAAGTTATATACAGTATCTATCAATGAGGAATTATTATACAGTATGTACCTTTGTGCCTGGTTTAGGCAGGGTTTGACCAAAAGGAATTGAAACTGGGCTGAGTATTCCTGAAATGCAATTTTGGGTTTTTTAAACGAAAAACAGATGGCTCTGTATATGATATAAAAATAATCACATTTCATGCTTACTCTTGGACTGGAAGCTGAATTATATCACGATCTTTAAAAAGTCGAAGTAAGAAGTCATGCACTTCATCTAAAGTTCGGGGGCCACCCATGTTGAGCATAAGTATGCCCGTCTTTGGTGTGGTTGTAGGGGTGGCATTCTCAGAGGTTTGTGGTGCCTCCAGACCATAAAAGTTTGAAGAAGTGGTAAGCCGACAAATTTTTGACAGCAAAGGGCCATCTGAAAAGAAATAAAGCAAGTACTGTACAGTAATTATATCATGCAAATAAAAATTCTTCATCATCGTCTAAAGAGTCATTTTCCACATTGGCGTGGGTTAGCCAATGCATATAAAACTTAAAAGCAACTATTATCCAGCAGCAACATCCCAACGGATACACTAATACTGTACTCTTTAGTGTGAATGTTAAAAGTTAATGATTAATACAGTACATTTAATTAAATAAAGCAGTCGGTTATATCATGTGGACGACAAACTTGTACCAGTAAGTCATTTAATACTTAAATAACTTTAAAAATTTTAGACTACGTATATTAAAGGAGTCTCCCCATGTAACAATATTACAATTTCATAACATACGGTCTAAGTACTGAAGTATTGTAAAATTTTATAACGATACTTGGATAGCAATCAAACTGAAAATTGGTACAGAGGTTTTCAATGTACTGTATACAAAAAAGAAAGGCTTTTTTCATGGCTAGAATTATCAGGGAATAGAGTATCATATTTAGATATATACTGCTGTGAATATATGTGCTTCATGGAGTGCCTAGTTACATAATACAGTTCAGTATTTGAAAGATAAAATATTTTTCCTGAACCCTTTTTTAATAAGTCGGTTTTAACATTCCTGTATAATCCTCATGTCTAGAGGACAGAAACCCAAGCCCCAGAGGCCAAACTAATGACTGAACTCCGTAAAACTAAATGTATAAACTGGATAATCAGCTATACATGCTTCATATCTATAATGATCTGGAAATATAACTACTTTACAATAAGATACCCTTATAAGGGAGAGAGTTTCGCTGCAAGTAAAACAAGAAATGCTCCAGTCTGTTCAAATAACCTTTAAAAAGCAACTATTATCAGTCAAAGTTAGCTGTAGGGACGACAGGCACCATCCATGGGGGGAACGGGGGGGGTGGTAAAGTCTTACTTTCAGACAACGCAGGAATCTTAGAAATTTTATCTTTGCAATCCCTGGATGACCAAAACTAAAACAATACTGAATGGGGAATCCTTAGCTCTGAATTAAGGGCTAATGACATAAGTTACCCTAATGTACCAAACCTAACTTAACCTAAAACAATATTTATCACCGTCTATAACAAAACCTGTCAATGAAATGTACCGATGAAACATCCCAGACACACCAGATGTAAAAAATGGAGTATTGGCGTCCTCAGAGCTCAGAAAAAGTCATTAAGATATTACAAAAAATGCTTTCCTCTTCCATGTCTGTTTTCATGAGGTACAAAAGCATTTATCTTCTATGGAGAAACATCCTTAAGTTGCTGGTTCAGGCTGGCAACCATATTGTCAAATACTACCAAAATAATTTGGTAAGTGTTAAACAGACCATTTCCCTTAATAACATGGCCTGAATAAAATAGGATGTATACTGTACTGTGATAAATATTTGTTTAAAGGCTGTGGCAAGATTTTCATATTTGGTTATTCTAGGATTATTAAAAAAAATTACGAATAAGGTTGGGTTGGGTTAGGTTAGGTTTCAACAGCGATTTGGATTCTTTTCTTCTTTTTTTGAGGGGGAGGGGGTGATTTAAGGGTTTTATTCAAATCTGACCTTCATTTCTCTTTCAAATTATTTAATTATGTAAAACAAAATAAAAACATGGAAAATTTTAATATACTGTATTACAAAATTCGCTCATTTGCCCCCAAAATGGAGGTTAGATTTGAGTAAAACACACCTAAATACACAAAAAATATATATTCTCGTTACAAACAGGAGCCACAGCCATTAAACGAATATTTACCATACTGTGCATGATTGTATTGCACACTGCACAGAACAATACTGTATAGTGTATATCATCATATATTTTGTACCTGGGAAATTTCAGGGAAAACTTTTCCAAGTGTGTGTGGCATATTATTCTCTCCATCTCTCTGGAACGTAACACTTAAGCTCATTTAAGTAAACAAAAATTTATTGCATGATGTAATAAGTAACATATATGTGAGTACTTACAACCACTCTTAAGAAAAGACTTAAATAACATTGTTCGTCTCATGTTGTGGCAGACTATAGCTCCCGACTCTCAGGTCCCCGGCACAACACTGACGTAAACTAAATCTGAAGACTATTTCCTTATTGCATTCTCTATTCGTCATGAAAATTGTTTCGTAGTTATGAAACATTTTACAATCAAATAAAATTATATTGAAATCAATTAAAATACATATTACGTCTGTATATTCAGTATTTTGTTTTTAATGTAAAGTTTAAGTTTATTTTATATATTCACTAGTATACAATACTGGTATAATTAACAATTATTTGTTTACGCAACAGCATACTATGACGTAATATTTACGCGAACAAAAATATAAATACAAATTAAATTTACAGAACTCAATACAAGCAAACACTCAATACAAGCAAACACTCAATACAAGCAAACACTCAATACAAGCAAACACTCAATACAAGCAAACACTCAATACAATCAAACACTCAATACAAGCAAACACTCAATACAAGCAAGCAAACACTCAATACAAGCAAACACTCAACACAAGCAAACACTCAATACAAGCAAACACTCAACACAAGCAAACACTCAATACAAGCAAACACTCAATACAAGCAAACACTCAATACAAGCAAACACTCAATACAAGCAAACACTCAATACAAGCAAACACTCAATACAAGCAAACACTCAATACAAGCAAACACTCAATACAAGCAAACACTCAATACAAGCCAACACTCAATACAAGCAAACACTCAATACAAGCAAACACTCAATACAAGAACATGCACAAGTTCCTGTATTTTTCAAAATCGTGCTAAAGTTGATCACTTTTTTTGCGTCACAACGACTGGTGTAAATTGATGTAAATGGCTTTTCTTGGCTGATTAAGTTAATTAGATCTTATGGTGGAAATAAAAGATATTTTGAGCTGCAATTGATATTAAACTCCGGAAATTTGTAAGTGGGAGGTCATCTATTCTTAGTCATTATGATGAAAAATATTAAATAGACGAAATTGATACAGTTCTGTACCTCCGTAGACCAATGTAAAGAGAACTCATGTTATTAGAGCTGTTGCTCGTTATAACTGCATTTTTTGGTTAAAACCCAAATTTGGTTCAAACACGGTGCCAACGTTAGAAATGCCAGAATAACTTGCAGTACAGTACCTTGATCGTCTAATTAATATAATTATCATTTCACTACTTAACAGATAATTACTAGTCGTTCGGGCGGTTAGTCTTTTCTTTATTACATTGCGAACCTTATCACCCATTGTTAATATAGGAGAAAACAAGAGTATCTGGAGGAAACCTGTGATGTTTGGTATTTGGCAGTAACCTACTTGACTGCTGGGTAACATCCTTCCAATACCGCCATAATATTACATCCTCGATTGATTATTTTACACTTGATATGTTCCCGGTACTGGTGGTGGTGGTGGTGATTGGTGTTCCCGGTACTGGTGGTGGTGGTGGTGATTGGTGTTCCTGGTAATGGTGGTGGTAGTGCTCCTGGTAGTGGTGATGGGGTGGATGGTGATCCTGGTAATGGGGGTGGTAGTTAATTGGTGATCTTGGTAGTAATGGTGGTTGATGTTCCTGGTAGTAGTGAATGTGGTGGTTGGTGTTCCTGTATTTGTTTTGCCTCGGTTTCATCACACCACAAACAATTAACAAGATGATCAGTGACAAAGAGGTAAAGAGTAAAAGTAAAAGCAAATAGAGCGACGATTTAAAGGTGACTTGAACCCACGGAAAATATTCCTTGATTAAACCCTTACTACTCATCCCAACGTTAACACCCTTCAACACCATTGCATTGACTGTTCCAATGTCAAGAACTACCTACCCTAAGGAAAGTCACCACCCATACATCATAATTTTTATTTAATTCTCGTACACTACCTATGCTTTGGTGGGTGCTAAACTCCCATGACTATTTTTCAAACTCGCATAGACTATTCTGCGATACACGATTACCAGAAAAATAGTGTCTGATTCCCCTAGCCCCTGGGGTGTAATAAATGTATTAAATAACCTACTACTTGACTCACACAATTGCGAATTAGAAAGTGGATTTGGTTTGGTTTATAAAATCCTGTTATTACATTTGGGTGTCTCTTTAAGGTCAGTATTGATATAATTATTCATATATATACTCTTTTGGTGAATTTTCCATAAAAGAAAATATAATAGAGTCGCTTATACAAAATAATTATAATAATTTAAAGGAACAATTTTCACCACGTTCTCGTCAATGACGTCATGACCGAGGCTATGTGGTACAACAACAAACTCTTAAACCTGTAGTGTGTGACAGACTGACGGTTTAAACGGTGATTGTCCCGTGGAAGTTGTTAAGGGGTGATCACAATTATTTATGTAGTTGTTAAAGGTCATATATTTAAATGGCGACTGTGGAGCCCAGCAACAAGTGACACCTTACACCCGGATTCTCATTATTGGTAAGTATTTTCTTTTTATTTCGTGTTTTGATGAAGAAAGTTTTCATGTTTACAAGAATATGATGGAAATATTCCAATGTTGCCATGCATGGAGATTACTATGGAAAATAGGTTTTTATAGTATTTCCTTGTCTCCTACGAATTTGGCCATCATTTCCGTCGGAAATGAGTAGTTATAGGGATATGACCTCTCCCTCCCCCCACAATTACCAATACTCTTAGTTACACAAAATGGACAGGGCTTTGAAGTAGAGGGAATTGTGGGGTAAAACACCAAAAACTGAAGAAACGAAACCTAATGAAACCTCATAACCAGAGAAACCAGAAGGACCTGACCTAACCTAGCCTAAAAAAGTGGTAATATAAGAATGGAGGAAACTGCAGCGGGCCTATTGGCCCATACTGGGCAGTCCCGTTTACACCCAACCCCTATTGCTCATATGAGCATCCAACCTATGTTTGAAACTATTCAGCGTATTCGAGTTAATGATGATATTTGGTAACTTGTTCCATTCATCCACTACTGTTTCCGATCCAGTGTTTACCTATTTCACGCCTAAATCTAAATTTGTCTAATTTAAAACCATTGTTACGAGTTCGCTCCTGGTTGGACAGTTTGAGTACCTTTGTAATGTCCCCTTTGTTTAGCCCTGACTTCCACTTGTACACCTCTATCAGGTCGCCACTCGCTCTACGTCTCTCGAGGGAGTGCAAATTAAGATGCTTTAACCTGTCTCTGTACTCAAGGTTCCTAATGCCTGGGATTAGTCTTGTCATTCTCCTCTGAATTCTTTCCAATGATTCTATATCCATTCTGTAATACGGTGACCAGAACTGAACTGCGTAATCCAGGTGTGGTCTCACAAGCGCAAGATACAGTTTTAGGATGACCTCGCTAGTCATGTAACTAACTCTCCTTTGTATGAACCCAAGTACTTTATTAGCGTTGTTACGAGCAAAAACACATTGTTTACTTGGCTTAAGGTTCCTACTTATCATTACTCCTAAATCTCTCTCGCAGTCGGATTTCTCTATGGCATCGTTGTTCATCTGGTATCTGGTTTCCCTGTTTACTTCTCCTATACCGAGTACTTTACATTTGTCCACGTTGAATTTCATCTGCCATTTTTCAGACCATTCGAAAAATTTGTTTAGATCTTCCTGTAGTTTTGCGGAGTCTTCGTCAGATTTAATAACACGTCCTATTTTAGTGTCGTCGGCAAATTTACTTATGTTGCTGTCTATGCTGATATCTATGTCGTTTTTGTATATAATAAATAATAATGGTCCAAGCACTGAGCCTTGAGGAACTCCACTTGTGACGTTGCTCCAATGGGACTTAGTGCCGTTAATGCTCACTCGCTGTTTCCTGTCCTGTAACCACGGCCTAATCCATTTAAGGATGTTACCTTTGTTGCCATGTGCTTCTACCTTTCTAATTAGTCTTTCGTGGGGGACTCTGTCGAAGGCTTTGCTAAAGTCGAGATATACCACATCATAATTGTGCCCCTCGTCCACCGATTCGAAAACTGATGAAAAGAATGTTAATAGATTAGTTAGACAAGAACGTCCGCTTGTGGAGCCATGCTGGGAATCTTTGATCAATCGGTGCTTCTCCAGGTGATTTCGAATAGAGTTTGAAATGATTGCTTCCAGTAATTTGCCTACTATTGATGTTAGACTGATTGAGCGGTAGATAGAGGATAGTGATCTATCCCCCTTCTTGAAAATCGGTATTACATTCGCTATCCTCCAGGATTCTGGTACTACACCTGTTTTTAAGGACATGTTAAACAACTTTCCTAAGGGCATACTAAGCTCTTCCTTACATTCCTTTAATACTCTGGCAAATATCTCATCGGGACCAGGTGACTTATTAGGCTTTAGTTTGTCTATTTGCTTATTAACATCGTTACTAGTCACTACTATCTCGCTTAATTTGTTTTCTTCACTATCTCTGAATAGAGTCGGTGCTTCTATGGAGAAATTTCCTCATGTCACTGCTAAGGCCAGTAGTCCAGGCTATCCAGCCAGTATTACTTGATGATAGTGTTCCGGCCTTAGCAGTGACATGAGGAAATTTCTTCATAGAAGATAAAAGTTTTCGGTAAATTTTTGCTATAGGACACGAGTCCCTAGGGGTTGACCAATATGTTTTTCCAGTGTATTTTGGTGGGTTTTAAATGAATGACTAATTTTTTGCGGAACTTGCTCGTTTTTGTCCCCCCCAACTATAATGGTGGAGAGCCTTGGAAATCGGGGTGTTTGGGTAGGTGGAGGAAACGAGTCCTCTAACCTAACCCCTAGCCCTGGTAGGCCTAGCTTAAACTAACCTAAATGTTTCAGTAGTTAAAAACTTTGAGGCGCTCCATGTCCGAAAGTACAATACCTTCGTTAGAAGTGGAAGGACCAGGGATACGTAAGAATTGGATAGAATGATCGTCTTTCTCATAAAACTCGGCAAGAAACTTTAAAAAAATTGTAGGAGCACAAATGACAGCCAACCTCCACCACGGCCATTGTGAGACTGGTCAATGAAATTACACAGGCTGCTTCCTTTGAAAAAAAATCACTTGACTGGATGACGTCGGTTAATATTGCGCATAAGTG